CTAAACCCTAAACCCTAAACCCTAAACCCTAAACCCTAAACCCTAAACCCTAAACCCTAAACCCTAAACCCAAACCCAAACCCAAACCCGCGCGCCTCTCTCTCTCTCTCTAGGCGATTTCGGCCCTTTTGGGCGATTTCCAAATTCCGGCCACCATGGCCGGTAGCAGGCTTCCGGACCCCAACCAACTTCTTCCTGACGTCAAGGCTAGCACATCCATCACAAACATCGCCGCCATCGCTGCCGGGGAACTCCAGATCGGGACCTTCGTCCCCGTCGCTGCTCCGCACTCCAAGCCGTCGTCCTCACGCAGCCATGGCACTCCACAGCACTCCCACAACCTTCCTGAGGTTCCCACGAGTCCATCGCATCAAGCCCCAGGAGATTTGGATGTCGGGAAAGCCCCATACCAGCCACAGCCCGATCCGGCGATCTCCGGCGGGTTTGTGCAAAATCCGGCCACCGCCGGCGTCAATCAGGTCGGGGACCTCACTCAAATCGTTCCTGCAGTCCCTCAAGTGTCCAAGGATCCATCAATTTCAGGGATTGAAGGCAAATCGAAGAATACCCAATTTTCGGATCCTAGGGTTTTTCCACCTCTAAAATCCTCAATTCGTGAAGTTCCAGGTAAAATTGGGAGAAGAGGACCTGATTTTCGTGATCCTCAAGAAAAAAGGGTTCGAACGGCGTTGGTCCCGCCTAATTCTGCTCCGGTCACTTTTCCGGCGACGGCCGCCGGAGCTCCGCCGGCGACGGCGGCGCCGGCCACCGGGAAAATTCCAGAAAATCCCACTGCTCCTCCTGAGTCCAGCAAACCCACTCCTAGCCTTGCTCAGGTGGTTTCAGCTTCAAATCGCATTCAAGTTCCTACGCCTGTTACGGAGCCGTTTCCCGATCGCGAGGTTACAATTCATCGGGGTTTGCCCGCTGTTCGTTTCATGCAATCTGAGGTCAGCCAATTAGCTCTCATTGACAAATACATTTTGGTTGGCAAATTCTCTCATGGGCAGCCCAAACTGGAGGTAATCAAACAATATTTTTCTACTAATTATGTCTTTCGTGGCACTGTTTATGTTGGATGGCGGGATTCGAAGCATGTTTTTATTATGTGCTCCAACTCCTACGATTGCACCAATCTTTTGCTTGAAGGCACTATTATTTTCAATGGGTTACATCCTATGCGTTTATTCCGATGGACACCTGATTTTGATCCGGAGTATGAGACCTCATTGTCACCTGTTTGGATTTCCTTTTATGGTCTCCCTCTGCATATGTTCAATTTTCATGCGTTGTCCTTGATCTGTAAACCCATTGGAAAATTGCTTGGTGTGGATAGTGTCACTTTAGCTAAGACAAAACCACATGTGGCCCAAGCATGTGTTGAAATGGCTTTGCTTCAGCCTCGGTCTAAAGAAATTTTTGTGGGTACTTCGAAAGTTGTGGGTGAAGAAGACTGTGGTTTTGTCCAGCCGGTAGTGTATGAGAAAGTTCCCTATTATTGTGACTACTGCTGGCGACAAGGCCATTCTTCGGAGCGATGCAAGCTGAAGGATTTTCCCAAGCCTACCCCTACCCCAACTCCTAACCCAAATACTAAACCCAAACCTCAAAACCCAATTTCTCATCCTAAACCCACCATGGCCCAGCCGAAATCTCAGCCCAAAAATTCCATTCTTCAACCCCAAATGGTCAAGCCCATCTATGTGGCCAAAACCCAAAAACCCCATTCCCAAGACCCACCTTCGGCCCAAGCCCCCACTCCCCAAACCTCCCTTA